AAGTTCTTGAACTCTTTATTTTGGCTTGTCTTCCTGTCAAAATGGGACAATTCTGCAAAATTTTAATGTCCAGACAAGCATGCTGAATTGTGGACCTTTTGTCAACTTTTTTTTCTGAATATTTCAGTAGCTCAAAAATATAAATATTTATATTACTTTCATATGAACACTTTGATTCAAGGCTTTGTGCTGGGAGACTCTTGGAAGACAGTGTTTGAGGAGGTCTTGAGTATGCCATGTTTGCTCTGTTGGGTTACTTGCACTTAGGGCCTGACCACCCTATATATCAACATGAGCAGCCATTGCATGGGAACATGTTGGTGTGCATCATGTGCAGGTGGGTGTTGTGACACAGAAAGTACTTCAGCCTGTCAGGAAAAGATGACTGCTTGATGTACAAAATAAAGGTCACCATGGCACTAAGGGAGGAGAAACTTCTCTATGAAGGGGATCTGCACAGCATGAAGTGGGAAAATGCCCCCAAGTCCATCTGACTCTGCATGAATGTGGGGTTCCCAACATCTGAAGGGATGTAAGATTTATTCACCATCTATATTCCTCCTTTTATTTTATGCTATTAAAACCGCTATTATGTTAAGACATTTGTTGTTGGGCCATTCTTACTGAGATCCAAAAATAGCCCTGCACCATATCTCACTCCTCATTCCCCTGCTCTCTTTTTCTACATATGTGTTTGCTGCCTTTCAGTTTTGCTGAAAGTCCATCTTGATGTTATTTTAAATGCTTGATTAGTATATATATATTATATATATATGTAAAGCAGAAAAACTGAAGATTTGTTTCCTGTATTTCAGCTATTTTCTGGTTGTCAACCTCTCATTTAGAATTGCTTCGGTTTGGTAAACTCTTTCCTTGCATAACTGATGCAGAATAGGTTTGACAATTCAACACAAAGTCTGACTTTTTTATTATTATTTTTTATTTATTTATTTTTTTATCAGCCCTTGTTGTGTTTGAGCGCATCTGTTCTTCAAATTTTCTTTTCACTAGTTATATTATGTTGTTATAATATACCCACAAAATTCTTCCTGAACAGTTTGGCTCTAATCTAGCAATGTGCTTAGTCTGAAGCATGCAGCTAATCCCAAACACATCTATGTAAGAGAAACAATGAATAGGAATGCATTTGCAGTGCTGTAGATACATTGTTGATTTTCTCAAATTATACATTAAGTATAGATAACTAAAGTCTTGAGATGAAACTAATCCAACTGGAAGGGGAGTACACTAGTTAATTTACCATATGAGCACTTAAGCACGCATAAGGCAACATACAATTCCACAAGAAAACCCACTAATACCAATGAGCATTTCTCTAAGGACAACGTCTCCTGTTGACTTGCCCTTGAAACAACTGACAGGCATCATCTGAGCATTATCTATCCATGTTTATCAGAGGCATGACTCCCCATACACCTTGTTTAATGAAAACAGACTTCTCTTATAAATCCTTCCTACAAATCTTGTCTTGCATATATATGCTTAGCTCATCACAGCTACACAGAACTGCTTGTGTTCTGACATTTGTTAAAGACTTTTTCATGACTGTGACTCCTCTAATTAAAGGAAAAAAATAAATATTTTAGAGGTATGAAATGTTATATTTATAATTTTTCACTCATAATGTCTAGAAAGAAAATTTGTTTAGTAGCAGTAAAAAATGAATAGGCATTATCTTCTTTATCTCTTGTATCTAAAGATAGTTTGCAGGTCTTATAAACGGCCTAAGAAATTTCTTGTTAATACAAGAATTTTTATGCTATGAGATCATTTTGCTCTCCAGTATCTGTCTGACTAAAGCTGATTCTAATAAACTTCATAGTTGATTCTTGAGAAACAGTCATCATCAGGCAGCAATAAAATCAAATAATGTACCGTTTGATTCAAGTTCTAAATATCTGGATGCAGACTGCTTCCAAATACTTGTCATAAGTAGCACCATCCAAAAGTGCTGATCCCTGCTTCTAGTCACATTCCAAGTGCTTTGGACGCTGTTACAGTGAATAGCCATGACTCATTTCAACATACAGTCATCCATTGGATCCGAAATTTAGACTTCAGGAAAGCATCACACAGACGCCAAAGGCACATATTTATTTGATTTATTTATATTTGAGGGGAGAAGGCTTCTTTGGAACCCCTTTTAGAGCCTGAGGGATACTCTCTTCTGATTCCTCCCCTGCATCCTTGCGGCCCTTGTGGTCCTTTTGGCCATGGAGAACAGGACACACCTTTTTCAGCTGCCAAACATTTATCAGTCTGGGGTAGGGCTCCCTGCCATCTACAGCTAAGCATGAGAAATATGGAAATGTGACCCAGCAAACTTAAGCACCCTTGGGAACTCCCTAAATAAAATATAACAGAATCTCTGTTTCACAAATGTGAGCAATATTTTTTTAAGCTTATGGCCAGCATTTGGTGCATGAACTTATAATGTATTCCTTTCTGCAAGGTACAGGTGGCATCATTTTAATAATTGTGAGGGCAACACATGAGTATATGCCTGGGCGGGGGTGATGATGATGTTGGAGATCTGGATTTTCTGTATGACTCCTTTTATTAGGCTGATGAAATAAGGACATCCCCTTTGCAGTTACTTCATCATTTTGCCTGTGAATGCTGGTGCAATGCATTTGGAAAACTGTTGTTTCACATCACATTGAGACAACCTAGCTGTGAACGGATGAAATCCCATATCCAACGTTACAAGCCATCTGGGTTCTTTCAATTTCCTTTCAAACTGCTGTGAATTAGTATGTTGAGTACATACATGGTAGTTACTTATTAGCGTGCACACACAGCTTAGCTGTTGTAGTCTGAAAACAAATTTCAGTAGAAATAATACCTACATATGAGATCTGTAAGGGGATCTATATCATAACAAAATATATACTTAGTTCATTTCTGTCTTAACCTATTATGAGTTCAGTTTAGAGTGAGAAGGATGCGTTTATAGGCTTTGATCTTGACTGCATGTGCTATCAGGCAGGCACATTTTCTCTTGCCTGCTGAGAACCTGACTGTGGCAGAAGCCTCACTTCTGATTATGAGTACAGGAACTATAACCGTGGTAAAGAGAATGATCTATGTCTTCTGACTGTGCTCAGAGAAGGGCAAAAATGTGTAGGTTGTTTTTAACTGGGGCAGGCTTGATCATCGAGGGATAGCAGAATATTATTTTGCTATGAGTATTAATTTTGTTTGAATAGTTCTTTTTAGTACAGAGCCAAAGACTTATGTGATACAGACTCTAAAAGTGACACATGGCCCCACATCATTTTGCAAGACCAAAAAAAAGTACATAGGACAATACACATCTTACCTGTACTCAAAAACTCTTTCTTAATTAAGACACAGACTAAGATTGTTCTTTAATTAAATTCCAGGTGTCGTATTAATCTGTGTCTGTCATACATATATCTCATGTGTGAATTAACTTGAAAACAGAGGGAAATTTGGATACTTGGAATTTCTTAGAATAGTGTTTGGCAGTTTAAATTATTGTAGTGTTGTAATTCAAGGAAGATTAACTACAGGGGAATTTAAGATTTGACTCAGGGAAGATTTAAGGAATATGAGTTTAGCATTTTCTACCTAAAATAGTTCTAATTATATACTAATCAAGCATTTAAAATATATTCCTAGTGAGGCTTTTGAATAATAAATTTTAAATATTTATGCATACATAGAAAATGAATTTGTAATTAATGGATCAGTCAAATATACTTTCAGTTCTTTAATTAAGTAATTCTTCATGATTTCCACAACGATCAGGTGGAATTCGCCCTAATCAGCTTGTAGTAGTTACATCTCTGAAGTTTACTTTAAATGAGGCATTTTAAATTTCCTGCCAAAATAAAGAGAAAAATAACCTCCAGTGAACAATTTAAATAAGCTAAGATGAACTTGTAAAGTGACTCCTTGTCTTGGTTTCTTTTTGAAAGAAGCCTTGGAAATTGTCCTGAACTAAACACCTAACCTTTAGACTACTGAAAACAGGTAAAAAAAAAAAAAATCCAAAAAAATGATTGTGGATTAGTCATGATGGATCTATATAACTTTAATGGTAATGCATTTATGTATTAGAAGATAATACATTAGAAGATAATAGCACATATTTATTTTCCCTGATGACATAAAGACGTATCATAGGTATTTATATTCTGACTCTTTTAATTATTGGAAAATGACAAATATGATGTAGAACGACTATCTAGGAAAGATTTTAGTCATTTTTTCATTAATAAGAGTGAATGCATAGCATACTTCTGGGTTTCAAGTTTATGTGTATAGCAACTATAAAATGGCAAGAACTTCATCTGGATAATATCTTCTAAAAAAGACATATTATATACTTAATAGAAAATGAAATAATAGAATTAATTAATAAAGCTATAGAAATACTGATATTTCACAGAAAGTCATGCATTTACCTTCCAGCATAAGAGCTTCTCCTAAAATTGTAATCTTCTTTATTTGTTTTTTATCTATTTTTAAAGAAAAATAAAGTAGAAACATTTTCATGTGTGATCTAAAAACAGTTGCTGAAAGTAAGACCTGAAAATGGGCATAACGGAGTGCTATTTACCTTGAATGAAAACAAAAAGAACATATTTAATGTCTTACTGATTGATCATAGCGGAAACTGAGGCTTCACATGCAATAAGAATTATTTTGCCATTAGCAGCAATAAATATCAAACAGCGATTGAAAGCTTGGAAATATAAGGCAGCGGAAACATTTCCATTGGTTACACGGGCTTTGGAACAAACCTTAGAAATATGAATAGTGAAGAACAATCATTAGCTAGCAGATACCCCTATTACTCAGTGGGACCACGAGACATGAAATTGCTTTTCTAGTGTCTCAATTTTGGGCTTGGAAGAGAGTGTGACGGCTGCAAGGGAAGTAAAAGCTATTGAGCTCATTGTCTTTTTCTGGGCTAACAGATTTTTTCCTTCCACCCTGTCACATTGCAGGAAGGATCAAAAAAGATCATGTTGATCCATGTTCACCTCTCTCAATTGTGGAGAAGAAGCAAATGGGGCTGCCATGCAAGTCAAAGTCATGGGATGCTGTACTCCCCAGGCCCCAAACCTGCCAGAAAGGAAAAGATCTGAACTACAGGTGAAATTTGTCTCACTGAACTGACAGGTAGTCCAAATCAGTTGTATGAACTCATTCGTAGACACTGGAGAAACACAAGCACTTCTAGCAGCTGCTCATCTAGCCACAGAAACTTATTTAAAGCAGATGGGATGAATTGCATTGAGCAGGTGCCCCTTTACCTCTACTGATGATAAAGGGCCCAGACTGAATTTAGAACGGACATCTAACTTTTAGCTGCTTCTTGTAGATAAGGCATATGATACTAGTGTGTGTGGGTTTGCCCCTACCCTGATTGTTTGGAAGTGCAATGTACATTTTCCTGCATGACTGACTTTGGTCTTTGTATTTGAGCTGACATACAATAAAGGGCTTACAACATCATAAATGCTTTTCAGTTGCTGAACCATAAACTTTCCCCATAGCATTTAAAATAGTTAAACTCGAGATTAAAAGGATTGACCCAGTATGTCATGCATGTACATAAATTAGAAAAATCTGGGAAAAAGATCAACAGTTATTTATGTTATGTCTAATGTCATGAAACTGCATATATTGCATATCACCAAATATGACAACACATTATAAATCAATGCTATTTATCACACTTTAAGCTAAACAGATGATGCTATTTTTCTTCAGATGAATTTATTGAGATTCAGAATAGAAATTGTCCATTCAAATTCAGTTTACACAGTTCTTTTGCTTCCAGAGAATTTGGATAAATTGTGACATCAAATTAAAAATAAAAAACAAAGATTGGAACTACTGTAGTAGTTTATACCTTTTAAAGTCATTTGATATTGTCAAGAAAAAGCATTATCTGGAGCTTGCCAACTTGTTATTGTTTTCTGCTGCAGGTGATCTAACTAATGAATTCAAATTTCTGTAGAGTTAAAGAAAGAACATTTTCCATGAATTTTGTCCAAAATTTTCTCTTGTACTTTTCTGCACTAATATTGAGAGTGTTAAACAATTTTCCACTGTTACAGAAAGTGAAGATGAGATTAATAAATATATATATAAGAACAAGATACCTGAAAAACACTTATATATATAAGTATTTATATATAATATGTATAACACTAATATATATGTATACGTGTTTTTCAGGTATCTTATTCTTGACAGGGAGTATTTTTCTATGATTAAGAAGGGCAAGGAAGATCCTGGCAATTACAGGCCTGTCAGTGCCTGGTAAATGGTGCCTGGCCTTCAATGCCTGGTAAAATTATGGAGAAGATTATTCTGGGAGTTAATGAAAAACACCTAAAGTAAAATGGTCATAGGTTCACTAGGGGAAGGTCATATCTAAGAAACTTAAATTCCTTCTATGACAAGATCACACAGCTAGTTGAACAAAGGAAGCCAGTCAATGTAATCTTTCTGGATTTCAGTAAATCTGTTGATACTGTTTCTCACAGTATCCTTCTGGATAAAATGACCAGAATAAAGTTATATAAAAGTATAATAAGATGGGTGAACAATTACCTATTCTTACGAGAATTATGCATTTATCTATGGAAAATGTGATAGTTTAAATTCATTCTCATTATATGAGGAATATACCATGGTTACTTATATGAATAGAGAAAAATCAATTTCTTTGATGTGCCTACATCCCCTGATTGGTATTTTTCTTCTCTTTTTTGGGGGAAGGCTAATCAGGAGGATTGAGCTGAAAACGTCATTATTCTTATGTGAAACAAATAGAAACATACAATAATTTGTAATTTCTCAAGCCTGAACAAAAAATGTTTGTAAAGCTTCATGTCTAAACTTGCTCCTCTTAATGAGCTACTTAGACTATTATAGTCCCTTCTGTGAAAGTTGGCAGCATTTCCAAGCTTTTGTGAGAAAACAAGCAGGGAGCAACTAAATCATTAGCATGACTGGAGGTTGCTATTTATATTTTCCTGGAAATCAAAAATAAAAATATATTCCTCATTCATAAAAAAAAAATAATATGCAAATGATTTACTGATAGTTTTTATTTTCTTCAAAATGAGGCAGTAGTTGTGAGGGATTATTAACATCTCAGATGAGGCAGGTGAGAGACTGCTTACACCTCTGTGACATAGTGAAAAATTCTGAAGCTGAATGCTCAAGTACACAAAGACAACATATAGACCTTATAAATCCCATGTTCAGTATGTAGCTGTGGATCATGTAATAGTGTCTACTGAATTCCAGCTGCAACCACTTAACAGAGAAAACTCGGGTTAAAAGCTTCTTTTAGGCCATGAAATCAATATGTTGTTATCTAAAAAAAACCCCTTAGACATCAGGGAAAATCAAAGCCAGATCTTATATAACCCTTCAAGGTTCAAAAAATCCTCTCCTTTTCTCATGTGAATATCTCATGTTGTCAGTAAAATGTCCCTGTTGTTAGCAGTTCCTCTCCCACTTGCAGCTACTATGGAATCTAGAACCGCTTGCATCTAGAAGGACCTGGATCCATCCAAAGAGACTCAGATAAGCTTGAGAGGTAGAGGAAAGTGAATATCATTTATATCTTTGGGAAGGGCAAGAAGGAGGACCTAGGTAGCTCCAGAACTGTCAGCTTTACCTCTGTCCCTGGGAAAGTGGTGGAAGTGGTAACCCTGGGAACCATTTTCAGACACAAGGAGGACAAGAAAGTGATCAGGATTAGTCAGCATGGATTCACCAAGAAGTCATACTTTACGTACTTGAAAAGTTTCTACAATGTAATGACTGCCATGGTAGATGTGGGACAAACTGTCAGTATCATCTACATGGACTTCAGTAGGAATTCTGACACCTTCTCCCACAAGATTATCACGGAGAAGCTGATGAACAATGAATTGGATGAATAAACAGTGAGGTGGATTGAGAACTGGCTGAATAGCTGGGCCAAGAGTGTGTTGATCTTTGGCATGAAGTCTAGCTGGAGACCAATGAGTACTGACAGGGGTCAGTACTGGTTCTAGTCCTAACGTCTTCATTAATGATCTGGATGATGAGGCCCTCACTGTAATATCTTGCAACCTGTCCGTGGAGTCTTCATAAACTAACCTGTTACAGAGCGTGTTTGGGTGCTTTCCTATAAACTGCTAACTACTGTGCCTCAATGCATTTGGGGAAAAGGATATACAAAAAATAAATAACACCTCAGGATGGGCAGAACTCCTTCTGGCTATTTTTTATGACTGGGAGAGGAGTAGAGAGGAGAAAAGAGAAGGCTCTGGCTGTATAACTAAGTGTACATAGCTAAGTGCTGAGGGCCATAGATCAAAAACTGTCATAAACATTGCCTTCTTGGTGAGCTGGCATTGAAGGAGCATTATCTTGTGAAAATACATCACCTTCAATTTCTAAAATTGGCACCTGATATATTTGGAGTTCATCTACCTTTTCCTTATGGTGTTGCTCTCACGACATTTTCTGGAAATAGAGCTATCAGCTGAGGAATAGTTCTGCTCCTGGAACTGCTTAGGGTGTTGCATGTGCTCCACTGAACTGGATAAATATATCCAGATGCAAGCATTAGCTGTGAACAGAGGTTTCAGTCTAACTCTGGACAAGTAGACAGCGTATATATCTCACCTGCCATGTCTACAAGCTCTAGAGATTATCAGCCATCCAAAACAAGGAACTCTTCCAATGCTCTTCTAAGCATGGACTTTCCACAAGATAGTTTTGACCACCTGTTCCAGTTTATTTATATATTGGCAAAAGTTTGTAATGAAAAAGACAATTTTATGAGAGAAGTAGGAAATATCAAGAAGAGTTTTTCAGGAAATCTAGGCCATTTTTTTTTTTTATATCATTTTATTTAACCATTTATTTTCTCTCTTTTTTTTTTTTTTTTTTTTTAAATGACATTGTATATACAAATTTCTATGCTTAAAGAGAGAGAGAGAGAGAGAGAAAGAGAGAAAGGACTCACAGTATAATATTATTTTTTAGCATTTTGCACTTCCAAGAGGTCATATGATGAATTTAGAACTCTAGGCTTCTAGTCTGATTGAAAATTCAGAACAAGAAAGTTAGGAAAGAAAAACTTTACTCCAGTATGAACAGAAACACACCCCCCTACTGAAATCCCATTCTTACTGACATCTGCAAATTGGGTATGAAGTATTACATTAAAAAAAACAACACGTATCTGACAAAAACAGTCTTCCAAAACGAGAAAAAAACTTTTGAAAACAAAAAATAAAGCCCTAATATTGTAATTTAAACAAAATTAGTTTGGAGGAAATATATTAATCACTTTGCTTCTTTTGAAAATGTGTTTTTTAACTTCTTTAGTGTTGGTATTCTCAAAGAATAGAGGATGCTTATCAGATTATAGTTCTGTTGGCAGAAAAGTTAAGAAGACAAAAAAAATCAGACTTGGCTTGAACAATGGTACCATATTTTCCAGCCTTGAAATGATAGATTAACTGTCTTTTCAGAAGGTGCTAATACCAGGAAAGCAAAATCTGACTCATATTTGTGTATGAAACACTGAGTGCAGTTTCCATCAAGGAAACTATATATTTTCACACAGTCCTAGAGGTGGACATGATTCTTGATTGGACTGTATGTTATAGAGGTGTAAAAAGGTAAGGAAAGAGATACTCTCTATTGTTTTTATAAGCTACATGGAAGCTAAATGTTTTCCTGTGTCCCTTTAGCCTTAAATTACAACATTGAAAGGATGAGTTTACCAGAGGTTGAAGGTTGAATGACAGGTCTCCAAAGTTGGGGGTGGGGGGAGGAGGGGGGTGGTTATATTGTAGTCTCTTCAGGAGGTTGTGTGCTGCTTTGGTGTGTTTGGAAATCCTAGGAAGCTCTGGCTATTCCTACTCCCAGGAGTGAAACATCAACCAGAAGCCACAGCTCCTGTACTCTGGGTATTCTCTTGCCTACTGGAAAGGGTCTACACTGAGCTGGCAAGAACAGGGCTGCTTCTGTACCGGATCTATACACTTTACATGAATGGCCATCTGACCTTGAGCTAAGGTGCCGGACCAGGATGTTCCCCACTGAGGGACCTATGTTTGGGCTGGAGGTGACTCAGTGTAGACTGAGATTACGACGTGGACAGTGAAAAAATGCAGTGTGAGAAAAAGACAGCATCACTGCCTCAATAGTTGCAGGGTTCCCTCTGGGACAGCACAGCTTCACAACAAATTTTATTTGAGGTTACAACAAGCTGTTACATTTCCAGAAAGCACAAACATATTGCTGTTTTCTGAATTGACTTCAGCAGTGCTTTTCGCTTAGGTTGGAGTGAATGGAGTTGCAGTTATTTTTCTTATGAAGATTAACAGCAAATCATCAAATAATGACATAAATTAAATTTAGATTGATGTTTCATAGGTGGGACTCCATTACATTATTAATTCATTCTATTAACCATTTGAACATATTTTTGTACCTTTTAAATTGTACTTGACCTAATG